TTGAGGGGGTCAACAAACGCACCAATAGGATGACAAAAAAGTCTGATGGATTGGGCACCGAGATATGAGAGACAAATTAACTACATTACATTAATCACTTACAAGTCCAATGGGAGCACAGAAACCCATATTCATAGAGAAACAGAGGTCTATGGATAATTTGTTGTTCTCCAACACAAAAGGGCTTAAAAGTGCAATGGTACTACCATTTTTTTTGTTAGTTTTTTTTTTTACAGGCAAGCCATTAAGAAAAAGTTCTTTTTTACAATGGAGGCCTGAAAATTGGAATAACCACTTAGGGAATGGAAATGGGGCGATGCAATGTACTGTCTTTAGACACGCTACGGATGGAACAACCATGAAGAAAGCCTGAGCTTGATTTGGCATCGAGATTTTTATTCATTCGTTTTTGATTGATTCATTAATAAAATAATAAATAAAGAGATTGCATCTGTATTAGAACTCTCTGAGAAACTGTAATATAAACTATTTAACATCAGGTGCTGGTGTCATAATACAAGTTTGCTCTTCTAAACTTAAAATTTGCCCCTGATAGATTATCCAAAATAGATGTTACACACTGACAGACTATCCAGCCACACTGCTGCTCTTGGAAAGTTTTAAATGCCCTCCCATGATAAAATCACTGTAAAGCATGGCATCTCAACTTCAAAGCTTAGCTTTACCTTCGAAGCCAGTCAGTCCACAGGCAAGTGAATAATCAAAAACGTAATGCAAAAGGTGAAAACTTGGAAAAAAAAAATGATGGAGAAAATGTCTAATATTGCTCAAGTCCGGAGTGTGAATATCTAGGGTGTTATTATTTTCTTCATTCTCCCTCTCTCCCTTCTAATTCCAGACGAGAAGGGACCTTTGCAACAAAAGAAAAAGTGTTACCTGGCTGCTAAGGCATGTTAGTAATTACAGTGGCATTACACCCAGAACGATGTCCCTGCAAAGTATTGTAATTTCTTTCCCTCAGGGTTTCCTTTATCACATCTCTTAACTCTGATACAGCTCGCCCCACTGCTGACCCCTGTAGCCATGATTAAGAACATTTGCTTTTACACTAGTGCTTATATAGAAAAGCAAATCCTTTTATCATGCCATCTTGTACATAGACAGAAAAAGAACATTGTGTATTAGAATAATGCTTCCCATAATGACTTTAATCTGGGTCAGGTATTTTTCATCCAGCACAGAGTCCAGGTCAGTTCTGATTCACTCAAACATACACAATATTTCCCATAGGTGGCTTTATCATGAATGCAGTTCTTGGCCTTTTCATCAGTAGCACCAGTTTTTTTGTTTGTTTTTTTGACACAAGGCTTTTGTACAGTCTTCTTATTTAAATCTCGTTTTTGAAAAACACCACCAAAAAAAATAGGTGAATCTCAACATAACACTGACTGTGACGCAACAGTCGCGATCATTATTTGCATGCCAGCCCATGTTCAATGCCAAGCAGAACTGCACAGCCGAATCATCGGAAGGTCTGCAGGTGAAGAGGCAAGCGATATTTATTCGACAAGGTATCTAACGTTAGCCCATTTGTTAAAATATTTTAATTTTTGAAAACTGACGTATAATTATTTTGCACACTTGTATTTCAGATTCTGTGAAGTGAAACAGTGAAACAGCCAATCAGAGCAGAACTCCTCATTACTATTCATGAGCCTTCCAAATAAGGTAAAAACAGACCATTTAAAGAGCCCCTATCATGGATTTTTGAAAATGACTGTTCATATGGTGTAGAATATAGCTCTAAGGGAATGAAAACATCCTGCAAAGATTTATATCTGAAAGTGCACCGTATATAAAAATATTGTCTTTCAAAAGTGAGAGTCGACTCGGAGTCTATGAAATGAATTGTTTTTGAAACGAGTCATTAGCTGGTTCGTCGTGACGTAGAGACATATTGGCCAAATGAAACTAACATTTGCAGTTTTTGGATAATAATTATTATAACTCTATAAATAATAAGAAATATTGTAAAATATGAGGCCACTTCAGTGATATGTTAGAATAAATAGCAAATCTAAAAAAATGTGTTTGTATTTTGAAAAATACTACACGTAACCTGAAAATGCTGTGTGAACTGTGAACAGTCATACAAATTTCTTACTGGCCAAAATTATTATTAATACAAAATAAAATTTTAAAAAATATTTTTTTTTCTACTATACTACTAGTTAATAATTGAACTAGTAGTAGACGGTTTAATTTGATTGACTAAATAGTTCACATTACAACAGCGGGTAGTTCCTAATAAAGTTTCCAGCCAACTGGCGAGAAACTCTTCTATTTATTCGCCAAGGACAATTCTGGCTGGTATTTGGTGCTTGGCGAGTGTTAATTTTTGGACCCTGACTGCACACGTTCAACAGGCCGTTCTGCAGTAATGAGGGCTTGAGTCTGGTCAGCGAGCCGTCCTGTAAACAGTCTGAGAGCAGCGTTAATTAACTCTCACCAACACAGGAAACAGAATAAGGCAGAGATGGAGAGCCAGACCTCTGACCTCTGCAGGTCTAACCAGGCCTCATTGGACAGCCTCAATCTGAGCAATTAGTACACCGGGTCCCCCAATCTACATAATTGCCCAAGCAGGGGGTAGGACAGACTGGGCATATGAGTGGAGACCATTGGATGCACACAAACAAACACATGATTCACATAAAAAGAGGGAGAGAGAGAGAGACACACACACACACTAATAACACTTATTTAACTATGAAAAGGCTCTAAAAGTCACCATCACGCATGGATTTGTGATAACTGCACTGGTGGGGTTTTCAACAGAAACCCTGCTGAGACTGAGCACTGCCTGTTAGTAAGCCTGAAAATCGTGCAGAGAGGATCAGTTCCTCCACCTCATCATGTGACCTCTCTAAAGAATGTTTTAACTCAGGATAAAGAACCTGGCTGGACTGGTTGAGAGTAATGACGTCTGGTTCTGTTAACAGTTCTCACACATGCATTCTTCAACCAATGCGGACAGAACAGGGTCCTAAAATACTAGTATCTCGCTACTGAATCTAAAGCATAATCTCGCACTGATCTTTGCGATTACTAAATGACACTTTTAAGTGAATCCCACACATACAGCTCAAGTTATTTTTATAGGTGTTCATAATACAGTGTATGATGTGTAGTTAAAGATACACATGAGTTCTACACATACAGACGGCCTTAAATCATGTTTCAAAGCACATAACATTACATATGTATAATAATGAACGTAAACAAAAAGCTCTGACTTGTACCACATGACTGCTGCAGATTCATTTCACCAATGATAATGTTGGGGATGGAAAGGCGTAGCACCAAACATTAGTCCCAAACTGACGAGTAATATCTTCTTGCAGTGCATAGATCCAAAAGGAACTCAAAAATCAGAAAAAAAGATATGCATACTAATATAGGCCAAAAAACTCACATGATTTTATTGTCCAGAGGCCAATAAAGTGCCTTTCACAGGAATGTGTTGATTTATGTTTTCATATATTAACTCAATGTCAATGTTACAGGTTTTTGCTATATGGTACTTTTATGCTAGGGTTTTTACTTTTACTATAGTAACTTTTTAATGTCATGTTAGCTGATGCCTTCCTTTGTCTTGCAGTAATGTGTATAAGCCTATTACGAAGATGCAAAGATAATAATGCATCAGAACTTCATGATTGGTCCAAAGCAGACTTATTTCGTCAACTATATGACCTGGCTGCAAAGAGCTCCTCTGAAATGAGTATCAGTACCCCAAATTAAGAATAACTTAATAAATATATAATACATTTTTATTTAGTTTTTAACCAACTCTGACCTGAGCGAATGACAGCGGAAGAACTGATGTTTGAATCCAAACCAATGGTCAACAAGCCTCTCTAAAGCTCTTCATGTCCACCCAGCATGTTCAGATAAGACCTTTTGTGTCTCTCTTGATCCCTGCTGGAAACAACAGCACTTAAACCCACAGCACCATCAACCCTTCCAACCCTGACAAGTTGGATCACCGTAATCCATACATTTGGATAGCTAATCCACATTCAGTGCCTCAGAGGACATAGAGACCTTTCGGCTTGTCAAATCCTGAGACAAGGATTTTAAACCGGGTATGTGAGGTGGGTAATACATGGGGCACCCCCCCCCCTTTGCAGACAATGAGCCAGCCCAGCTAAACTGACAAGGACATGGGGGAGATGTTTGGGCTTACCAATGCGTAAGATCAATTAAGGGTGGTTGAGAGGAAGGTCTGAAAAGAGAAGCGATGACCCTGCCGTAGAAGAGAGCCATGCTGCCCCTTTTCACTAATCCAGTAAAAGAGCCAAATATTTCAAGACATTTCAGTCCACAATCTACTAAAAAAAAACAGCACAGGATCAGTCTCCTTATTCTAAAACATTAATCTGCATTTAAAAAAAAAGAGTTTTAAATATGTTTTCAAATAAAAACATCTGAGCTATTCTTTCATCCTACGCAACAGATTCAGAAAAGTGTGTCTTTGGTGGATCTGCCGAACAAGTCCTTTAGTGTTCAACAGAAGAAAGGTATGGAACGGCATGAAGGTATATTTACATCTGTGGAGAGGCTTTAACACCGCACTACAAAGGCAAAAAAGTATTATTTTCTTCCCAAAAAAAAATCTTACTAACCCCAAACTTTTAAATGGTAGTGTATAACATGAAAATGTGTATTTCACAGACTATTCAATGCACTGGGAAATAATAACATACAACAATATAACAGCAGGAGTCAATAAGTTGCTTATAATGAGGTGCTTATGAGGCTCAAGTGTGCCTGCCTCTGGTGTGCCATGGAGCTGCAGCTCTATCTGACCCCCTGCTGCCTGACATAGGTCATGTTCAGTTTAAGACTACAGTGAAATATTCGAAAACAAAAAGTATAGCAGACCGCATTAAACAAACATGATTACCATCATGTGATCTGTTTCACAACCTACATGCAACGACTGAAGTATGAACGTGAACAGGAGATATACTCACAGACATTTCCTGTGTTGTCAAAGCTGCTGAGCACCTCATCTACTCTAATAGGTCCAAGATTGTCTCTGTAATGCATTAAGAAACATGATTTAGACATAAATATGCTGATATGCTGACCCAACCCTAACTGTTAGCATGAAATGTGATTGTGAACAACGTAATGCGTTTACAGTTTTTCTCAGTCACTTTGGTGCATTTCTCAATCATAACTGAAACACTCAAAGCTACTTATTCAGCCTCCACATCATTTAGTCACGTCTGCACATCATAAAAGCAATCGATTATGTACAATTGCCTGCTGTTTCCTAAATTATCAATTGGTTAGGTCATGTTGATCAAAATATATTATACTGGTTCCCTGCTGATTTTTTTTTACCCCTCAAAAAATAGGCAAAAAATGTAATTAAACGCAAAATGGTTGCAATCGTCATAAACTGTCAAGCATATTTTCTATAAGACCTTTTTTGTAAATGTGTCCTGAATTGATGAATTGTGTATGTGAATTTTGAATTTCACTATAGAAGGGAAACATACAGGGCTAGATCAACCAATGATCATTGATCAACCAGTTCTCTAAAATAGCACAGAAATGCATCTCATGAAGCTTCATTTGGCATATGGACAGAGCACAAAACAGTGTTAAAAATTCTGAAAATCGAAAAACAACAAGTAAACAGACAGGTTCAACAGCCAGGAAGAAGACGAGAAGTAAAGATTTGTTGAAAGATAAAGCCGAATGTTGAGAGACAAAACAGGTATAGAATCAGACCAATTCACTACTTAATGTAATGCTATATTACAGTAGTCCATTTGCATTTTCAAAGAGAGTAATGTAGAAATCTGTACTGTTGAAATGTATATGCCATATAAAGTGCAGCATTTTCACTTTATTGAGCATTTTCATTCATTGTCATCAAAATCAAAATAAAGACAGATTACACTGTTATAATGACAATGTGGCTAAGCATAGCCTAGTGAAAAAGAAATAATACCATATATAAGAAATGTACCAAAGTGACTGAGAAAAACTGCTCATCATACTGACATGAACAAACACTTAAACCAAAAATGAACATTATGTCATCGACGTTTACTCACCCATTCTGCAATAAATAAAAGCAGCTATTATTAGCAAAATGTCCAAGCTGCTCTTAATTTTACAGACAATGACAAGAATCGCTGTGTGAAGCGATTTTCACAGAAGGATTTTTGACTTAAATGTCATTAGACTCTAGAATAAAAGTCACACAGGGAACTTTTATGATGCTTCTATGTTGATTGTTTTGCTATTTTTGGAGTTTGGAGTCTCCATTCATTGAATGAAAAAAAAAAATAAGTGTGAACCTCCTTTTTGTGTTTCACAGAAGAAAGAATATCATACAAGTTTGAATGACATGGGGGAGTAAAAGATGACAACATTTTCATATTTGAGTGAACTATCCTTTAAAAGGGGAAGTGACTTTTTTTATAAGACCTGTGAAATTTCATGCTAAACAGTAACAAGACAATGTTTTTATACACTTGGAACAGAATCAGTGGAAATGAAAAACACCAACAAACAGTGCACTCAACAATTTCTCTAGCATACCTGAGTAAGGCACTGTACTGGGGAAAGATTGCACTTCTGTAGTCCACCCACTGCCCGTCTGACGGGTCATCCGTCTCTGTGGGAGTGACCCTGCTCCTGGAGAACAGGTTAAAGGAGGAGAATCTTCGCACTGACACCTGCTGTACATCTGAACTGTCGAGCTGCTTCCGTTTCAGAACCTGCATAAGAGATACATAAGATGCAACTACCAGCACACATCCATTTTCTAACGTAATAAACGCATTATATTTACGATTATTTAATAAATGCAATCAGCATTACATTCACTGAAACCCCCTCACCTGTCGCAGAAGACCCCATCGTGCACGGGCCACATCTGTTCCACAGTGAGAGTCGTGATTTTGGTGATTATTTGCAAGCATTTCTGTCGCAGCTAACGGAGGATCTTTACATGTAACGTTATTCATGCCAGAGCAACCTGATCGATTTATTTCGGCTTCATGCGGAAAATAACGTAGAACTACAACGACAACAGAGTGCAGAGTCTAGTCGAACTGCTTATTGGCATTTGTTCTCTGGAAGTGGATAAATTCGATGGTACAATTTAATACCGTTTTAACCACTTCGCCGGTATGTACTGGTCTCTGTTGCTTAGTAATAAAATCCCACGCTACTTCCGTACACCACCTCCTCTTGTTGCAGGAGGAAATCCAATTCATTACCAGAGTCTTGAAACACTCTGCTCTATCGGCTCTCATCTATGATTTTTGACTCGATTACTCATGCCTGAACTAGATGTCATATTTTTGCGCCATTAGAGATAGTGAGTCTGATTCGTTTATGTGAATCGGTTCTTATGAACAGTTCGTTTCAAAGAACCGATTAAAGAAAACCTTGCGTAGCTTGACAAAGTGACTTTGAAAAACAGCCACGTAATGTGAAGGTACTTATTCTGTAATAGCGATGTTTATTTTAATTTCATATGTGTTCTAGCTCAAATTGTTGCAGCCATTCAACTCATAAAATAGTCATGTGAACCAATTCAACCGTTTCATTAAAATGATCCGAATCAATTGAACCAACATCGAGTGTCAAATGCGCCACAGTTCTAACGTACTGAATAAGCATATTGGTTGCAGGGAAGTTTAAATATTTTAAATGTGACACTTACCTCAAACTAATAATGCACTGTATTTTTTGATATTTAAGGTAGCAGAGAGACGCCGTTCATTCATAATCAGAAACTAAGTGACATTCTTGCTGCATTAAATGAATCGTATCACCTCCTCATATCTGTTGCTTTTGCGATCAGTTGCATGCAATATCCATCGGAAGAATAAACACCCGTTCATTTCACGTCTTTACACTGAGGTAATGTCAAAATCATGCGTTAACGTTACATGTTTTGGTTTTACTTTTGCACGTTTCGCATAACTGCTGTAATGAACAATTCATTCATTGTTTGACATTAGCTGATCAAATTAAGAGACTCATAAAAGTGCATGGCTGCCATGCCATTGCAATAATAAACACAAACATTAATATTCTAAAATATGTTGCATTAAAAAATAGAATGTAAAAGTGTGTATTTAGCGCAGAAGCAAGAAAAATAATGTTATTCATTTGAAACAGTAACAATATATCAGCATGCATGATTTAAAAAATAATAATAATTAGGAAAATTCTGCTTAAATTGCATGTAGATGGAGTATCATAAATTAATCACACTGCAAGTCAAATTCTCAACAGTGTTTTGTATCAACTGTCATTTAGGGATCGTCACACACTACAGAGGAGCTGTCTAAAGCCCATCTGCAGAAACTCGGAGGTCAGGTGCAGCGCTTTAAAAGAAGATTGTATTCGATTCATAGGAAGTTTGCCAATGTGCCAGAAAATTGTGAGGTAAGCAACTGTAATGGTGCAAAGTTTGTATGATACATATGATTGATATACATTTTAAATCTGTCATCATTCCTCCAACATCATCTCAAGTTTCGGGGACACCATCATGTATACTTTGAAGATGGCAAAGGAATCTACAGATCGACATTGGGACACGGTAAACGATACTAAAGAGGAACCATTTCAGAAATGACATTTTATTTAGTTCCAAGTAGAAACCATAAAATCTATGCATACAGGTGAGCAAGATATGGTGGAGGTGTTCAGAGGAGACTCGGGTGGAGATGGATATGGAAGCATCCAGAGAGTCAGACTCTCTCCCACAGAGACCATGCTGGCTGTCACTGTGAAGAAAGACCACCATGAGGAGACCAGATGCATGTTGGTCCATCTAGGTGGTGTCAACCTTCATCAAAATACCATGTTGGTTTTAGACAATGTGCTCAGCTTTGGTAAGATTTACTATACTTTATTAAGAATTGAAACTCCAAGTTTTTCCTCCACGAATGTCTTCTCTCTTGCAGAATGGGCCACAGATGACGTCCTCTTCTACAGCACACAAGAGACTCTTCGTTGCTTGCGTGTTTTCCGTCTTTATCTCAATGATTCTGGTGTCCAAACCACCCTTGTTTATGAAGAAAATGATCCAGAGTAAGACAAGAGTGTGCATGAAATGGAAGTTACAAATACTGCAATATTCCATTAAAAAAAATAAGAATTGTCCATTTTGATTTCATGGTGACTTTAAGTCCTAATTATTGGTGAAGAGTTATTTTGTCCAGCATTGATCTGGTCTTCTGCCCCCTCCTCAGGTTCTTTGTGGAGGTCAGTCGTTCCAGAGACCAGAGACTGGTGACCATTAACTGCAGTAGTAAGATCGGTTCTGAAGTGTGGTTCGTTGACTGCAAGACTCCACTTTCATTCCTCACCCTCATCCAATCCCGCCAGCCTGGTCTTCTTTACCATGTGGAGCACTCGGACAACCACCTCTTTATCCTTGCTAACACTGGAGCACATCAGGAGTATCAGGTTTTCCAGCACAGAGAGACTTGAGCAGTATTGTTCAGAATTAAATTATAACTATGTGTAATTGTTTTCTTTCTCAAATCTCAAGCTGCTCAGGGCACCATTAGCCTCTCCGTCCATGCCACACTGGGTGCCTGTGTTCAGTGCTGTTCCAGGAACAGTCATTAAAGATATGGAGCTGCTTCAGGATCACTGTGTGTTCACAGTAAAGGATTCACAGTGTCGACTTCAGATCCAGACTCTTACCACAAAAGAGCCCTATCAGTTAAACACCCTCCAGGTGTGACAAATCCCAAATTCACATACACAAGTGTTTATTTATAACAATGCTAATTTAAAGAGATTTGTTTTACTGGGCAGATGACATCTTATTTCTTCTCACTAATGTACTAGAAAGTCTAAAGCCTTTACTTTTTCTGACTTCACTGTCTTTATGCTTTTGGTCTCAGAGAACCTAATGATGTATATGTTCACTTCGGTTCAAAAGTTTGGCGTCAGTAAGATTTATTTATTGATTGATTGAAATTAATACTTTTATTCAGCAAGGACTCATTCAATTGCTCAAAAGTGACGGTAAATACATTTATTTTGTTACAAAAGTGTTCTATTTCAAATAATCTTTTAACAGAATTAATCAAAGGAAAAAGAATTATAGTGGGTTGCATATAATTAATTAAGCAGCACAACTATATTTACCATTGATAATAATATTATTATCAATATTATTGATATTAATAACAATATTTGTAAATTTGATCAAATGAATGTGGCCTTAATGACCATAAGAAACTTCTTTTGAAAATATTAAAACACTTTTAAAAGATAGTGTATAAAATTGTGAATTTTAAAGTTAACCTCTTATTATTTTGTCATATATAATTTAAAAAACCTAGAATATCATTAAACCTTTTAATCCTTTACTATAAAGTAAGCAGACACATTTATTACATTGTGGAATAATAAAATAAAACATATATCAATAGAAAAATTGTCATGAGTTAAATGCTACAATTACATTGTCTTATCTCACGTCTCTAAAGACCCCTAACAGAAGTGATGTAACCTTTTTTATAGAGTGCATTTTACACATGTTATCAAATTTACACTTTGCTTCTTATTTCTCATAAAGAAAATACCGCAAAGAACTTGTTTTTGATATATTAAAAGCTCTCTCAGACCCCATGAGGGTTAACCTGATACATTACTATGGTCCAAAATGCTCTTTGTACTCTCTAAGACCAATGTTTCTATTTTGCCCTTAGCTTCCCCACTGGGCCTGTGATTTATCACCACAGCGTGTTGGGACTGTGGACAGAGGGTCATTTGGTTTTCTCCTGTCCTCCCCAGTGCACCCACCTGTACACTACCTCTATTCCTCCAGAAAACATAAGCTCTCAATTACAGAGGAGGACACCCGGTATATCTCACTCCCTGAGTTCAACACTACACGCCTGCAGGCAGCAAGCCAGGTACAAATTATTTACATATGAGAAGCCATAAAGCTAGAATGGTACAAAAACCCACCTATGTTATTCAAAAAAGCCATAATATCCCAATGTCTGACTTTTTAGGATGGTACAATGGTGCCTTTGACTCTTCTCCATGTGCCTTCATTATCTGAGCTGCATAACGCTCCACTGCTTCTGCATGTATATGGAGCGTATGGTGTCGACCTCGATATGAGCTTCAGTCCTGAGAAGAGACTGTTGCTGGAGGATGGCTGGGCTCTGGCCTATTGCCACGTCAGGTACTGAATTTCAACTCTTTGGGATTCTGAAACAAAATGCATGTTCGTGTATGCTAGTGCTGTTTGTGACTGGGCAGGGGTGGTGGTGAGCGTGGTCTAGCGTGGCATCGAGCAGGCTCTGTGCTGCAGAAGCGGAGGGGAGTGGAAGATCTCGCTGCTTGCATTCAGACTCTTCATCACATGAGAGTGTCTCATCCTGCTCTAACCGCCCTCACCTCTCGCAGTGCTGGAGCTGTCCTAGCGGGGGCGCTGTGCAACCATAACCCACAGCTTCTTGGAGCTGTAATTCTACAGGTGGATCTTCAATACATCATTGACCACACTCCCTGAGCCATATTTCCACATGATATCTGACATTGCAATTCTCGGCAGGTGCCTTTTCTGGATGTTCTTGACACAATGCAAGACCCTTCCCTGCCGCTTACTGTTGAGGAGAGGGGGGAGTGGGGAGACCCCCTTATAAAGGAACACAGAGACAGCATTGCATCTTACTGTCCCTGCCACAACATTATACCTCAGGTAAATCACTCTGATATTACACACAGTACACTACCCTTCAAGATTGTAGAGGTAGTTTTTGTTTTTCTTATTCAGCAAGGATGAATTATGAGTGGTACGGTACGGTACAGTTCGGTTCGGTACGCAATTATTTGCGTTTCCACTGTCAAAAGTTGTGAATGGTACCAAAAAGCCAAACCGTACCGTACCACTTTTTGGGTACCCTTCCGTTGGGGTACCTAGCACAGTGAAAGGGTACTAAAAGGTGGAGCTAGACTCACTGCAGAACGCTGATTGGTGGACAGAGTATCGTCACTCACTCGCGCGTGCTACACAAGGGCATTAGAAGCATACAGTTGAAATATAATACTACTGTTATTGTGTCACGAAATGTAGTTTTAAGAGTTTTTCAGGTGAGAAAGTAGTTTTTTTTTAAAGCTCAAATCTGTGGTCTATTTATAGATTTATGATCATTTGACTGAGATCATTTGTCCCCCGCCTGGAACAGCCTTTACTCGGCTAGTCGTTCTGATGTTTGCCGCTGACTCGGATGTCTCTGTAGTGGTTAAACATGAGATATAGTTCATCTTGTATAAACCTAACAGGTGATCTTTGGTCTTGTGAATCTATAATTCGTTCCCTGGCCAATAGTTTTGGCAGAAGGCTACGAGAAGTTTCATATCGCGCTGAATTTGTATATTTGACTGACTGAATTGTTTCTTGACGTTATTTAAGCTTTACTGTATATCTTTTTGTACCTTTTACTTATACTTTTATAATAGCTATTATTGATAAAAATGAAATTCAACAAAAAGAGATAGTTTTGTCTTTTTTTAAATTTTATTACAAGATCATCTGTAATGTTGTTTATTGCAACGTTTGTACCAATGCAATATGCAATACATTAGCTACATTACATATTGCCTGGAATATGTTTAATATTTTTTAATTTATACGAAAAGAGGCAGGGTTGTTTTATATTTAGTTTTGTTACAAATATAATGTTATAGGCTACATGCAGTGATAAAAAAATAGGCTATGCGTTGTCTGAAGCACATTTATGCTTTAGAATGTTTAAAATGTATTGAAATGAAATCGAAAAGAAGCAGAATGGTGTTTTATAACATAATTCGTTTAATTGTTGCCTAAAATGAACATACAGAGATAACCGGAGTCGCAGAGCCAGAGCGAACAGAGTGCCGCGTTCAAGAACGCGCTGTTCCATTAACAGAATTACTGGACTCGCGTCCTCGGGATCATTCTCTTGAGTCGGACTTTGGGTTGACTTCTTGGAAACGCTTAATGCCAGCGCTTGTTTCTAGTGACAAACATGCCGAGAAGCAAGAACAAGATCTGCTGTCTGTCATCCATTGTTGTTTAATGTCGCTTTCTTCGCGCGAAAATGACGTTGATTGCTTCTTTCCAGCATACCACGCCTATCAAGTAAGGGTAGCCTACTGTTGGCTGTGGAAACGCAAGCCTGATCATGGTGGACCCGTACTGTACTGTACCGTACCCCTCAGTGGAAACGAGCCATTATACTTTTCAGATGTGATAGGAAAGACATTTATAATGTTGCAAAAAAATGTCTTTCTATTCATAAAGAAATCCTGAAAACTCAAATGTATCATGGTTTCCACCAAAATAAGAGGCAGCACAACTGTTTTTAGCATTGATAACAATATGAAATGTTTCTTGAGCACCACCAAATCGGCATATAAGAATGATTTCTGAAGCATCATGTGACACTGAAGACTAGAGTGATGATGCTGAAAATTCAGCTTTCAGAAAGTCACAGAAAGTTTTCAAATAGAAGTGACTTAGTGAGCATAAGAGACTACTAAATCTTACAGACCCTAAACTTTTGATTAGTAGTTTGGCTCAATCCCAATTCACCCCTTGGCCCTACCCCTCCGTTTTGTGCATTCACGTCTAGCGGTGGGGGTCTAGGGGTAGGATGTCCCAATTCTTGTTGACATCGAGGGGTAGGGCGAAGGGGTAGGGCTACATACCGAGGCACACTCCAAACGGAGGGCTACGAGAAAGTTCGCAGAATAAATCGCAAATCACCGGCGAGATGGCTTTGCGAACATTTAAACACTTAAATTTAGCGCCTAATGACACCACCATGCACTTTATTTACCCTTATAATAATACTATAGTCATTTAAATTAAGAAATTGTTTAATAAATTACCTTTCCTAATCAGAAAAGACATGCATTTCGAGGAAGGAATGTTATAAGGTTATCCTGTAAAAACTCTGCAACGGCAGAGTCATCGCCGATGATTGATGACGTATCGGGTTCATGAAGGGTTGTTCCATTTCGTAGGGGAATATTTCAATCCCTTGGCCCTTGTAACTCTGTTTTGAGGGCTAAGGGGTACACTTGAAAACAAGGGGTAGGGCCAAGGGGTGAATTGGGATTGAGCCTTTGTGTCTAATGATTCGAAGGCATGATTGTTTCTTATTTTTTCCACAGCTTTATCCACCAATTCTGATCACTGCATATTCAGAAGACCGCAGAGTTCCTTTATCTGGGGTCATGAAATATGTGGAAAGACTTAAGAAGGCCATCCAAATGTGTACCACTGGGGTTGATGTTAAAGGTGAGTGTATAAATGTTCTCTTGAGCCTTTTTAATCAGCTTTACAATTCTCTAAAGCAATTATAGTCCACAACTAATGGATGTTCTTGGGCATAAAGTGGACATTTATAAATCTGTGAAACACTCAAACTTGAGTGGTGTATTGCTTGTAATTGTGGAAACAGCAATATAATAAAAGCCAGTAAAAATATTTTTATCAGAATAAATTTCCCAAAAACAATTCTACCTTCAAGAATTGACAAAAAAATAAAATAACGCCCAAGTTTCCAATAACTGGGTGAGGGTTTCCTGTGCGGCAAAGTAGTTTAATTCCAATTTACTTTTATCTCGACCTCAAATGTCAGTTGGTTATTGGTCATTTATATGATAATTTATCTAGACACTTGATTATTCTATTCAACTCTTTATTTTATATTTTACTCGTTCATTAGGAATCTATGTCGCACAGAGAGCCTCGCGCTGGCCATTTTAACACGGGTCTCGCGATCACAAACATCGTCAGTCTTGGGACTGTACTGTTTTAGAAGGCCGCTTTTATCTTTGCTCTATTTAAAAGTATTTTGTTTAGTCCCCATAGGTCTGTATCTTGAATTAAAGTAACACTATCTCTAGTCAGGGGTCATGACCACTACTACAGGTATAAGCTGATCAATGTTACTTCTCTGATAGTAGCTTTGGTTTGGTCCTGCCATGGTTTTCCATTTACGCTTAAGTAATTTTAGATTAAACAGTTGGTCGATCAACATATTGTTGTCCTAAACAGAGATTTCCTTTAAAGCCTTTACAGTCTAAGTACACTTGAAACAGTGCCAAGTGTTAGCCGGAGCTCTAAAATCTCAGTTAGTGTGTGCTCTATGCTCAACTCAGAACTGGACTTAAGTCTGTTACTCACCTGACGCAGTGACAAAACCCAGACCAAGACAAAACATCCACCAATGTGGTACATGAACTTACAATAGGACGAGGGTTATAGACCTAGGGAGTTCGCACCTTGTCGAGGAACAGGTAGTTTGGGAATGAAGGACTCTGGGAAAGGGGCACAGCCACCACAGAAAAGCAAAGTATCTCTTAACTCTTAAAACCTTTTGGTTTTTGTGGAGACCATTGAAACCTGTGGAGACGAGACCAGACATTTGAAATGATACCAAACATGACTGTTAAATCACTTGCATTGACATAGAACATTATAATAATTTATATAATCTTTCTAAGTGAACAGAGTTAAAGGAAGAATGTGTAAAGGGAAGGAAGTAGAGGAGAAGCAACAAATGTGAAGGAAGGTGTTGTGGAAATTTTTGTACCTAGATCTTAAATAATAATTAAAGTACAATGAAGATCTCCAAAGTCAGTTATTGTTACCGGGCAAAATTTTATGTCCTTTTGACCTGGCCTGTGTGTCCTATTTGCAATTTCCCTGACACAGCATTTATTGAAAAGGCACATCTATTGTATAAATCATCTCTGTCTAAAACAAGAAAACATCTATGTTTATAAAACACACAAGCATATGTTCAAAAAGAAAAGATACATAAAAAAGAAAAGATAATATGATTGGCTATGGATAGATAGATAGATAGATAGATAGATAGATAGATAGATAGATAGATAGATAGATAGATAGATAGATAGATAGATAGATAGATAGATAGATAGATAGATAGATAGATAGATAGATAGATAGATAGATAGATAGATAGATAGATAGATAGACAGGATCTAGACAGGATCTAGACAGTATCTAGACAACTCATTAGTCCAAGAAGTGAAGAATATTATTAAAACTAAGTTCCAGTATTAAAAACTGGAATAAACCAAGTGTAGTATAATGGAAATGAACTTGGAGGTCACTGGCTGTAATCCCAGCTCTCAAATAAACCCCTGGGCTTAAGAGAAGCACTTACACTCTCTCCTCAGAAGAGCACTGATCTGGAAACAGGTGATGTGCAGCGATTCCTCTCCATATCCACCTGAGGTCACCTTGTGTGCGAGCTGCTGGGCGAGACACACCGTCAGCACATCTTAGTCCGGAGCTCTCCGTTAGACTCCCTCTCCATCTGTGCGCCATTAATTATTTCTATTACAGACACACACATAGAAACACCTTCGCTAACACCCCACACACATACACAAAGAAAAAAAGCGAAAGTTCCTCTAATCTCTCCCAATCCTCCCCGGGAGATAAAACGCTGATCACACACGCTGCCAGCTCGGACGATTAACATGTTTATGAGATAGTGTATCAGGCGAGGAGATAAGAAACAATACACTGGGCTGTGCCAAGGTCAGGAGGAAGCTTGTGAAACATGCCGCCCAGAGAAGGAGCAGGATGGAGAGAGAGACACCGGCGGCCGGACTGCAGATAAGAGGCAGATGACAGAGTTTTAAGGATTAGGCATATGATTTTTCCACTCAGCTTAACTTCAGAGAGATCTCATCACCGTGGGGAAATAAGGCAGCCAGGCAAAGGAGTGGGCCAAGTCCACCTACATGGCAGCCTCTCATCATCCACTCCGTTTCAAGAGCGTTGACTTTAAAGTGCTGCATGTGATGCCCAGGTGTTGTGATGGAGAGCCAGAGCACCGGATTACGCTTGGATATTGTCAGTCTAGTCTTACACGTTCACTGCGATAAACATGAACTACTGTAGTGTACATGAATTTCTTTATCTACTGTATTCCATAGTGAAAGATAAATATACTAAAAATGTATTTGAAATATATTTATTTTATGCTAAGTATTCTACACATTTACATATTTGTGTACTTATTATAAATATCCTGCAATTGTACTTTTAGTACACTAAATTCTGGCATACTTTGGAACAACTAATTTTGTCATTTAAAACTTGACTCTTCTATAGTTGCATCGTGCGCTAAGACCGACGGAAAATGTAAACTTGCGATTTTCTAGGCTGATATGACTAGGAACTATACCCTCATTCCTGCGTAATAATCAGGAAACTTTACTGCCGTACCATGAGTGCAGCAGGCGCGATGACTACACAAACTTAGTCCTGGTCACGTTGGAAGCTGGGCACTATTTTCAGGCGCTGCGTCATAACATTGCACCTGAAGTTTAATGATTATTACGCAGGAATGAGAGTATAGTTCCTAGTCATATCAGCCTAGAAAATCGCAACTTTACATTTTCCTTTTGTCTTAGTGCACGATGTAACTATAGAAGAGTCAAGTTTTAAATAGGAAAAATATCGAAACACTTTGGTAATTTTTTGGGAGAAATGCTAATGGTCTTGTGCACTTCAATGATGTATGCTAAGCTATGCTAAAAGTGGTACCGCCAGAACCGGATATCGTCTGAATGGATTCAAAAACGGTAAAACTCAACAGTTTAACTCTGGGGGAGTTGTAAAATGACCGTATTTCCAAAAAAAGTAGAGTATCCCTTTAAATACAAGTACTCCACAGCGACTCTAGGGGACAAAAATGGAATTCCTACATAGTGTGCCTTTAATGGTCAGAAAGTAGAAATTGTTCAGTCTTATAAATATCTTGGTGTCCATTTGGACAGGAAACTGAACTGGAAGAAGAATAGTGAGGCTGTTTTTAAGAAGGCTCAATCAAGACTATTCTGAGGAAGTTGACTACATTGTACCTTGAGAGGACTTGGGAGCTCATTTAGTGGAAGATTGGCAATGCCTCGGTGTCCTACAGTGCGATTTAGAAGCTCTTTTTTTTGAGTGCAGTTATGTTTAATGAAATTGTGTAATTTCTTGTACTGATTGTTGTTGTTTTTTAATGTTTGTTTGTGGTGTCTGTAATGTGCAATGGTGGCCAATGAGTTTGCCCTTACAGCGAATAATAAAGTTTTCTTTACTTCCTGCTCTGTTGAACAACCAGCACGTGTCCCAGCTGTCATTCTGGACATGCAGCCAGGAGGTGATCACTTTGGCCCTGAGGATTTTCATCTGTCGTTGAATGAGGTAAATAAACACTCAAATTATATTCATCCCAAACCTTATCTGACCAAATTGCTAAATGACCTGTTGTTTACGTTAACACACTCAAGCATGCTGGGTATTATGATGCTTTAGATTAAGCAGTTATGGTTGTGATTATATAAAGTGCATTTTGCAATAGATATACTTTCTCTTAGATCACCTTCTCTCACGTTTGATGTCACACATTAACTTATACTGTACAGTTCTGTTACTAATGTTTGCAGCTTTATGACATGGTGTTTTTTTTTGCTAGCTGTATAGTAATCATTTATTTGAAGTAAGCTTTTATTTGTGTAACATCTGCTACTTTTTTCCACTCACAGAGTGCCCAACAGTTAGCCTTCCTTTACACAGAACTAGGACTAGATCACCCAAAAACTCAACGGAGACAAAGGAAAGCTCAAAAACCTAACTAGCAAGTCCCATAAACCCTGGAACATTTGTTTGTGTATGTGACTGAAAGAAAGAAAAAACAGAAAAAAAAGTTTTTTTTGTTTTTTTTTTTAATAAATCAAACTATTTTTGTTAAATGTATGTTGATTTCTTGTTTAATAAAGGTTTGTCTTCGGACCAAAACGAAATCTATGTCCAAACTAGTTGAGATGTGACAATTTTGCACCGACAAGCAACTGTTTACACTGAACACAATAGATATCACAGCCAATTAAACTATACTTGATGTTCAGTCTACAGTTCTGTGGAGTGAGATCATGAGACCAATGAGATTTCAGAGTGGGCAGGACTAGCCAGCATTATATCACAGGAATAAAACGTGGAAAAGATAGCCTTTATCCATTCGCTGTGTCAGCTTAGTTAGGGCACAAACACCCTCAACACTTGTACAGAATATCTAGTGCGGACAAATAGCAGGCTTTCTCAGAAACATAACACTCAGATTCATGGTTAGGGTAAAATCGCTGATTGGTGGAATATTCCAGGAGCAATCCTTGCCCTCGAGATGTTGGAATTCTGGATTTAGAGAAAGTCTTCTGGCTTATTGGCACTGTACTTAAATGAACAGTGAGGGAATCTGGCAGCTCACCAACCGAAGACAAGTCTGTTGTAGTATCCACGCCGAAGTTTAGAAGCACCAGGAAGCCTTTTTTGAGCCCATCCAGCTCACGCAAATATGCAAATACGTTGACATCACTCCAGACGTTGCAGAACCAGCCTCGGGTAAGGACAATGTCCGACGCTTTGAGCAAACTCAGAGCACGATACTGTGAAATGATGGAGTCTGGATCGGCCTGCTGAAGCTGGAGAGAAAAATATAAGATGGGATTAGAGGATTCCCTACTTTAACACACAGATTCTAGTCATAGCGGTCGGAATCACGTACCTCCACATTGACAGTGCTGTAGTCTGGAGCGATGTCTAGCCATGTGCCCGTTGCATTGTCACTAAAGCCAGAGTTGAGCTGATCATTCCACTGCATTGGTGTTCGCTGTGGGTCTCGACCGTTGCTCTTAATGGTGAAATAAGTATACATTTAATTTAAAGAAATAATGCATTCATTTGATCAAAATGTGTCACTTTCTGATGTATAATGTCTATTTTAAATAAATATATTTTTAAAAAAAAAAGTAGCAGAGTTTCCACAAAAATATTATGAAGCACAACTGTTTCACATTTATATAATAATAAGAAATGGTTCTCAAGCATATTAGAATGATTCTTTAAAGATTGTGATTAAGACTGAAAATTCAGCTTTGCTATCAGAGGACTATATTGCATTTTAAAATATGCACAATATTGGATTTTTGCTAAATAAATGTGGCCTTGGATCATGAGAGACTTCTTTCAAAAACATTTTATTAAATCTTACCGACCCCTTTCACATAGTAGTTCACTTAACAGGGGCCACTAAAAGCACTTTTACAGCTGAAACAACTCATATTTGAATAAGAGACTTCTTTCAAAAATATTTTAAGAATTTTACTGGCCCCCAAACATTTTAATGATAAAATACATAGTAATATAAAAATAAATGTATTCTGTAGTGTATTTTACACTTACTGGATCAACTTTTCCAAAAGGATCCTGAATTACAGATATATTAACGTTCACCATGCCAATCTCCTCTCCGTAGTATGTTGTGGGGGTTCCAGGCAGTGTTAACAACAGCATGTTTATGGCACGGACATATTCCTTACCAGCACTTGAGCCTATACGTGGCTTGTCATGGTTTCCCACCTATATATGTATACAAACATACGTTTTATATATATTCGTATACAAACTGAACAAAATATATTAGATTATATGAAAAAAAGTTAAGCGGGAATGTGCAAATTTTTTACATTTTGACCATCCAAAGGCAAATGGGGGAGTGCTTGGGACAACTCAAGTTTAGGGATGAAAATACACACATGAGATGTGATTCTTAATGTGAATCTTAATACATCTGGTCACTCACCACCCAGTTTGGCCATTTTCCCTTTGGCATTTTCGACATCCATAAATCAACCAGGCCTTTGGCTTGATTTCCTGACAGATCATCAGGAAGATCCAGTAGATAGAAGTTAAAGGGGAAATTGCTTTCTGTGGCATAGCTTGTGCCGTAGTACCTCATGGTTTTGTCAATTTCTTCATAGTCGTAAGACTCTGTAACCATGAATCTAAGTTTGAGAAAACACAAAAGAGCCATTTACAAGAGAGAAGCACATGGAGATTGGTGAAGTAGAAGAACTGAGGATACCTGTAGCGGCCAGGCTCTCTGCTGTAGGAGTCCATCTCCATCCTCCATTCTGTCAGGATCTCGTGTAGACCTGGTTGTGTGTAGGTGTAGTCATGGTACAGCTCAAACTCTGTGTCCACAGTCGACTGAGGAAAGAATGAGGGTAACCTTGTGGTTAGTCACACTGCACACTTGTAACTCACATTAATACAGATCAATAAATGCTTTAAAATGCATTGCTCATTGTTACTTCATGTTAGTTAAAGCATTAACTAATGAAATATTACCATATAATATTACATTTTAAAAGCTTTACATCTCGTTAAGAAAAATGTAGGGCTGTCAAATGATTAATCGCGATTAATCGCATCCAAAATAAAAGTTTGTGTTTACATAATATATGTGGGTGCACTGTGTATAATTATTTTATATATAAATACACACAAATGCTTGTATATATTTAAGAAATATTTTCATGTATATAGATTTATATATCATTTATATTATATATAAATATTTTATATATAAATTATATTTTTTCCTTAAATATAAGTGCATGTGTGTGTATTTATATACAAAATAATTATACACAGACTGGAGTAATGGCTACTAAGAATTAAGCTTTAGCATCACGTGAATAGAATATATAATTAAATAGAACTATTATTTGAAATTATAATAATATATCGTAATAATGACGCGGATGATAGAGTTTAACTTGTGTTGAACTCAGAATTTTTTTTAGTTAGTGCTAGCAAGTTCGTAAAGCCATTAAAAAAAAAGAGGGTTAAGTCTACGTAGTCATTCCACAGCCTTATAGATCTTCAGTGGCTTTGTAATCATCTGGAATTAGGATAATGGGAATGACTTTTCTGTAAATCCAGAGAAATATGCACTAGTAATCCTTAAATGACATTGTGAGAACAAAGAATAGTAACAGGACTCCTGAATGCATTCAGAGAATAATTTTGGCTCAGGCAGATGAAGTGCTTTGATAAACAGTCAACTGAATGAATAACATAGCACAGGACATTGTTTGACTTACTGGATCTTGGTCAGGGTCAACCTGGGGTTCATTTCTCAAATGTGTGGCCTCAAGCATGTGTTTCACAGCGTCCATGCGGAACCCGTCCACCCCCTTCTTTAGCCAGAAATGGATTATGTCCTATTACACAGATGTGAAACAAAAGATCAAAGAGTGTCCACGTTTGTAGTGAAACATGATATAGTTTGGTGGATTGCAGATACTCATGAAAGACCTTTTTGTTCAAGAATTTGAAGGCTCCACCAATATTTAAAAATATTTTTGAGGGGGACTTTTCCAAGTCTTGGAAAGTCATATGTATTAACAAAATCTTAAAAAAATGCATAAACTATATATTTTCTAGTTAAGCTCAAGCTCCTGAGCATTTAATTGGCTACAAATAGGATACAAGAACACTTTTTTATCCTTGTTTATTTATCACAAATGACTGGAAATGTAATATACACTTTAAAAAATAAAGGGTCTTTATTGCCATCTATGACTCTATGAAGAACCATTAACATCCAATGAAACTTTTCTCTACACTAAAGGTTATAGTGAAAAAGGGTTCTTCTGATAATTAAAATGTTCTTTAAAAACAGTTCACACTAGGATGGTTCTTTTAAGAAGTGTCTTTAAGGAAAAAAACTTTTGGAACCTTAATTTCAAGAGTGCAATGTGAATCTTTGTCCTAATCAGGACTAGAACCAGTGTAACGGACTCATAAAGTGTAAACGTCTGCATAATGTTCATAGTCAAGCCGCCGTCTTACCGTCATCTCCTCTATGACTCTGGGGTTACGGTAGTTCAGGTCTGGCTGTTCCTTGAGGAACTGATGGAAATAACACTGTTGTCGTATTTCATCATACTCCCAGGTTGAATTCCCAAACACACTTACCTAGGACAAACAATGTGACACTATAGTTAGCCACAACTACTATATATATATATATGTATATGTGTGTGTGTGTGTGTGTTTCCTTAAAGGAGCTGTATGCGAGAAATTTATTTCAATTAATCATACATTTTCCCTGATAAGTCACTAGACATTAAGAAATCATGTTCATTTCAAATACTTATATCACTGACAACAGTAGTCCGGCCAGGATATTGTCATTTAAAAAGTGAAGTCGCAGCCCTTGACTGGTGTTGATGTTGTCAAGTTGTGTTTTGTTCTGATGCGCCAGCTGCAGATACGAACGTGTCGGAAATGGATAAAAAAAAAATTTCTAACGTCGCGAAACCCCCCAAAAACTCGAAATGAATCCGAAATACTTTGTTACAAAGTCTGAAATAAATAATTAACAGAAAAAAAAAACTCACTGTGTAGGACTCGTCACTTACCATTGGAAGCTTCTTAGCAGCCTACATTCCTGCTGGAATCGGCAGCATATCTGGCAACCTCGAGTCATGGGGGAAGGGTGATACACTCTAATTTGAAAGTGATTGAAGTACTATTTTTGGCCACAATCTTGCATACAGCTCCTTTAATTCAATCTAAATTGTAGCGAAAAATAATTTGCTATGTAACAAACAGTATCAGATGAGATATAATTGCAATGCTTGGTCAAACATTCCGAATAGCACTGATTCTTTATGTTGATGTGATCCGAATGTATAATGCTCAAGCAGCTGACACTATTCCCTGATTTGTTTGCATTGTGAGGATGGACATTCATACCCAGTTGTTGGGAGGTTTGTCTGCAGTGCAGTTAACCCAGATGTAGTAGTCTTTATAGGGCTCTGTGCCATTACGGCTAAGCTGGAACCAGACGTGTTTGTCGCTGGTGTGGTTCGGGATGTAGTCCATGATCAGCTTTAGACCTGAAAAAAAAAACAGCTAACAGTTATCAAACGGAGCATTTTTATCTGATTGTTGTAATAACAGTGTTATAACATTGTAACAAGTTTGGAACTGTTAATTATTAACCATCATGTTATTTGTGAAGCTCATAACTTGCCAACATTCAAACTATAGCCATAAACACAGCAAAAGTGAGTTGTCATTGTGTTACTTGACAACAATGTTGATTGAAACATTGATCATTTACCAGAACGCATGCCCACCTTTGTCATGCATGCCTGTTAGGAGGTTGTCAAAGTCTTCCATGGTTCCAAAGAGAGGGTCAATCTGCCTGAAGTCCTCGACGTCATAGCCAAAGTCCTTCATAGGAGACTTGTAGAAAGGACTGATCCAGATTGCTTTAATGTTCAGGTACTCAAAATGACTCAGTTTCTCCATGATTCCTAAAGTCAAACATTGAATTATAAAAAAAAAAAAAATAAACCTACACATTTCTGCACCTTTGATCATTACAAAGACATTCGACAAATCCTTGATCAATACAACCTTTATAATCATTTCAATATGATCTTTTTAGAGGGTCACTGAAGTTGTTACACATCATGTAGAAGATAAGCTGGTGTTTTAACTTATTCATAGTGTTTGCTTTGTGTGAACATGTTTCACAGTAAAAAAAACTAATGAGCCTGTAATGTACCACCATAAAATCAGTTTTATTTACTTTATGCCATGTGTAGATGTAATTTTACCCATTACATAAGAGCAATTAAACAACCTCCTCCTCTTGCATGAAATGGAATACGCAGCAATACAGAACCATTATGAGGGGAAAATGGCTTTTGTGTGTCCGTCCAAGGCATCAACACACACTTCTCAAATAACACTACAGGTGGAGGGAACTCTCAGCTACTGAAAAGAGAGTTGTTTTTCAACGCTGCTTGAGAAACTATACTGCTGACTTTTTCAGGCTTTTTGTTTCAGGCCAATTTTATGGTCTCTAAATCATTAAAAGAAACCAATTTGCTGAAAATGATGACATTATGCACACTAGGATGCGTGTAGGTACATTTGGTGTTCTCGGAATACAAGATCCAAACCTGACACAAAAGGTCCTCAACAATATTACGTACTTGGAGATTGCAGAACAACTTACTCGAATTATTATTATTACATCATTTGTGTGGACAAAAAAAAAAATGGACAAAATGTTTACATATACAGTAGTATAATTTTGAACAATAGCCGTACTTGTTTTAGGATGACTAACTTTTTAACTAACCCTAACTTTTTGACTACTGTATTTTCAAAATACTATGTATGCAACAAGAAAATGATATTAAAATATTATTAATTTTAAGTCTTATAAATCATTACTTTTTTGTAAGAATACATCAAAAGCAATATTTAATTAATTGCCAAATTTGCATATGGGGTTGGGGGGCAATTTCTAATATGAGGTAAATAGCTGAAAATATTGAATTAATCAGTTATCATTAACTATAGTTTTCCGTAATTGAAATAAAATGACAAAAAAACACATAAAAAATAGAAATGTTGAAGTTGAAGTACTTAAATTTTGGAAACTAAAAAAAATTAAGCAAAATAGATTTAAAACAAAATATACTATATGTATAAAATTCAAAAACTTTTTAGACTTAAAAAATAAAATGAATTTAAACTATGAGCCGTTTTAAAATATTATTAAATACTATAATACATTTTTACCCTTTTAACCTCACCTTAAGGATCAAAAATTACCTTTGAGGTCTCCAACACCATCAGCATTTGAATCTTTGAATGATCGAGGATAAACCTGATAGACCGGAGTCAGCTGCCACCAGCTCATGCATCGAGGCGACAGCGCCACGATCGTGATGGTAATGGCAATCAGAGCCAGGGTGCATGCGATGATCAGCCAGAAAAGAATCTCACGAGGGATCCTGTAGCAGGCTTTGCTGGAGTATAGCATCAGGACCTCTTTGGGCATCCCAGCATACGGTTTGATCTGAGTATACTCGTTTTGCTCCGGCGTGGCGAAGGAGAAGCTGGTGGCCTGGTGCTCTCGAGAGCATGATGCCTCAGATGTATCATTGTCCTCTTGAAAGGCTGCATTATGGGAGCCTTCTTGCAGCTCCACCGTGTCGACGTTTGTGATTTTGGTCAAGCTCATCGTTCTCGCTACATTCAATCCCAGAGCACAGGAACAACGCTTGTGAGAGCCGATACAGCCAGAGTCCTGTTAAATAGAGGCATTCACAAGTCCATAGTGCATTACACTGATTCAGTCTCCATCCCTCTCACACACAATAAAAACCCCTCCCAGAGGAATGTGGCAGAGATTAGCCAGGCCAATCACACATTTCCTTGGCTACATATTATTGAAAAGTCAAATGTAATTTATGGCATCAGAACTTTCTCACTATATGGAAAAAAATGGCTGGCAAACTTTTACCACATGAACAACCCTTTAGTTTTTCAGCTGACAGATTTTCCCTGAAATCAGATCTCTACAGAATGAATAAAATAAGAATCATGTCCAACTTGTAAATTAGTAAACTAGATTGTAAACTTCAAGCATGATTACATCATTTTCATCCGTTAAGGCTTGGTTATAATAATATGAAACAACGTGAATAATTGTCAAATAATCTACCAAAAAAATAGAATGATTTTTGATTAATGCATTTAAAAGCAGTTAATAATTTATTGGCTAATTTGCATTAGTTTTGGGGCAGCTTCAAATACAAAATACATTTTTTTTTTTTTAGAATAATCATATCACTGATATTATCGAAAACCTACTCGGTTACTAACGTAACGTCAGTTCTCTCTAGTAGAGGGAACGAGTACTGCGTGATATCTTACGCTAGGGGAAAACCTCTTTTCCACAAGATACTGAAGTTCATGGTGTAGTTGGTTTAGCTTTTTTACTTTTGGCAATATTATTTTGGCTTCAAAATTAATAAAAGTTGTTCATTTGTGAAGATTTTCAAGGACTGGCTTTTCTATAAGCGCCATCTACTGTCAGACATTGTTAATTCAGCCCATGTGCCTTTTTTTACACATTGGTCTGAACAGACAAATTGCATGTAAAAGTCAGACCGCATGCTGAACATTTGTGTTGGTGTGAACGGGCCTTTACTTTTCAACTACTACACAATTCATTCAGTGTTACAGGTATAGCAGAACTTTTTTGTTCGAAATAAAACACAAATAAAAAAATAAATAAAATAAAAAACTTGTTCTGCAATATTTAAAACAGACTTTCATGAAACCTTATCATAGCACTCATTAGCAATGCATCATTAACATCAGCCTCAGCTGGCATGGCCACATACCAACCACAGCTTCATCTGATGCACAATATATACACATTTGTTTCAATCTGATAAGCTCCGACACTTTTTTTTCTTTCTTTTTTTAGATCGCCTGGTAAAGTTGATACAATGAGTGAACACTAGACTTACTAAAATACATCAAATCTTTCGAATATGCTCCGATTTGTTTGCGGCACTTACTGTAGTATTATCTTGATCAACACAATATTCAGCTTTGTTCAGTTAGAACTCAGAATTACAGATCACAACATCTATACATATTTTCCATTTTGGACAACTTTTACTGAGAACATCGTTATTTTAAATAATTTCTTACCATGCCAGTCTATTATTGAGCTATTGAACGCTAAAGCACACACAAAAACTAAGCAACCTGCAGTTGGTTGCTTTACAAGCTGGTCTCTCTCTCTTGGAACATGGAACTACTGTTTGCTGTTATGCAAAGTTAAAAGACTCAAAAAGCGTTGTGTCCTAGCCATTAGGCTTTTCCCACGGTGTAATTAAACATAAGGAGCACGACTGCTTTTTCCTGTAGCTTTATTGTTCTGCTCAATATCAACTTTCAAGTTCTGAGGCCAATGAGTACTGTTGTCCATGGACTGCCGAAAACATATTTGAGCAAAACCGACATTACACTCGTATGGTGAATCAGAAAATAATCAGTGAATTCATCACAAAGCTAGTTTTTCATGTTCATCTAACCAAAAAAAAAACAACAAAAAAAACACCACTTTACAATATACTCTGAAGGAAAAAGGAAGAAAAAAAGGCAGGTTGCTGTAAGTTCACATCTGCATTCGAAAGTGAGGGATGAGAAGGAGAAAAGACTGAGTTACAATACAAAGGGAGAGCTGAGAAAAGCTGTGTGGCTTTGGTGGGCAGTTACAATCCCTTTTATCCAACAACACCCACAATTCCTGGGTTAAACAAGTACATGAACAAACTCAGTGTGTCTATTTCACACAACATGGCACGCTCATCAGTCGCCATTAACATTACTCTATTGCTTCACACAATAAGCGACAAAGACATCAAACTTGGGAAAAATAAAAAATATATATGAATTTTATATATTTATCTCTATATATTCTATACTCTCTGAAACAGCAGGATTAAAAAGCTTTTTACAAATAATCAAATGATAACCTGCCAAACGAAGCAGGGTCAAGTCCGAGGTTCAACCTAAAGGTCAGTCAGCGGGAAGGTGCAAAAAACCAACAAGCTTCAATCCTTTCCACGCAGGCTATGTAGTAATGAAGCAATTCTTTAAAACATGTTCCACACACTTTCATCAGTCAAATATATCCTCAATTAAACCCAGTGATGATCCATAACCACATAGCAGGGGCTGCCAAGTTTATCAATTGTATCCTCAACTCGAATTTGCAGCCGACTGGAAAAGGCACCACAGCACGTACATGGGTCTATCCCCCAAAACATCCTCGGATTTAAAATTAACACCCACAGCCACCACAAAAAAAGGGAGAAAAACTATTTTTTATTGTATGATGTGTATTTTTCTTGTAGTTGTTTTTAAAACTGGAACTCCATTCTTTCCCTCATGTATTAGAAAAAAAGTGTTTGTAATGCTTTTGGTTGTACTGTGTTTCCACTGTGTTGTGACACTTGTCCATTGAATCTGTTGATTTCACTGGAACAAAAGAAACATGACTGATGTCTCGTGTAAAAAAAGGGGCTCTTCCCTCAGGTGGGACGACTACCACGGGTCCTCAAGGTCAGCTCCGCTCTGCAGAGAGAGACCACACAGAGAAAAGGCATCAAATCACCGTGGTCAACCAAATCTACTCGCCATCTTTTGCTATGAAAAACATTTACTTAAGTAACGAGAAAGGCTTCATCATAATGGGTCAATGACGTGACGCTTGCTTTTTCTGTCCGACTGAACTTTTTACCAATTAATAAACATTAAAATTAATAAAATTATAACATGTATGTCTACCACCTCCCTTATACATATGCCCACTCTTATTTCTTTAAAAACAATTGGTTTATTGGCATTTTCTGCCACCTGAAGTGTGAAAACATCATGTGGGGCGACCGTCCGGCCTTGACTTCTGTTTGGATAACTGGTTTTAAATCAAACTAAAATAATTTAAATATAATCCTTACCCTATTTGGCATAATTTTAAACTTGTTTTCCATTGATTGACAAAGTTGTGAAACATTTGTACACACATTTCAATCATAATAAACAAACAAATCTTGTCCGAAGATGTTCATTATCTGAAATATCATCTGGGGCGACCATCAAGAAAATACAAATAAGGGACTTATATTCTGATAATCATCTCAAAGAGGATGTTGCATCAGCCAGCCTCATGGTGAGGGTCCCACAGAGACAACTAGCTGGTGAGTTGTCACTCTCATTTTTACAAACAAATCCTCTTTAAAACTGCTGCAGTGTATACGTCACATTTTGATATCATGTGGGGCGAACAACCTAAAACTGTAAATTACAAGTTTTATACGCAAATCTTTATTTTTAAATTTGTAAATTGTAAATTTGTCAGTGATATGTGGTGAGAAGAAGCTAACTTGGGCTCTATAGCTAAGCATTATCCTGTTATACTTGATTAAACTTGAAAATATCATCTGGGGCGACCGAGCATCATGTGGGGCGACCGCCACTGATTGCTTAAATAATAGAAAACACATATCATGTATTTGTAGTTTCTGTATGCAAATGTTTACATTCATTATATGCATTTAGTTGTTTTAAATAACTTTTTACATTTCACCACATATTTTTTCTAAATTTCAATAATTTCCCTTCAGAGGACTAAGCTTACTTCTTTTTGATTATTATGTTTTTTATCAAAGAAATGTGTGATATTAAGCATTCATTCTACTTTTTCCAATTCTTTTTCTAACTCTGTGTATGTTTAAATATACTTTTTTTTTCTAGATGGCCCCACTAACAAGCAAAGAAAAGACTGCTCGCTACAGGCAGCGGAAAATGCTGTTCAATGTGTCTGCAGAATGCTGCTATGTTCAACTGTTAAATGAAAATAGTAATGAAAATGCAAACATTGTATGTTTAAGTGATTAATGAAATGAAAATAAAAAAAGAAAATGCTGTTCAATGTTATGTCCAAGCGTTTAATGCATTAGTATTGAAAATTTTAATATGATGCTTTTGTGTCAAATGAAATAGTGAGGAAACTGTTAATGTTATGAAATGTGTCAAATGAAATGGATATGCTGATTCTTCATAAAATTTCATTAAATATGCTGATTCTTCATAAAATTCCATTAAATGTGTTTTAACTATCAAAATCATTGAATAGTCTTAATTGCCTGCTGTTTTTCATCATGTGGGGCGACCATTTGTCATGTGGGGTAACCAACTATATTCAATTCTGCAGTAAATTCAAAAAATAATGTCTGTCCATTTTGGTTGAAATATAATTCATTGGTATAACATCAATAAGTGGATACTATATCTACACATTTTAAATCAGTTTTATGGATTATATGAGTAAAAAAAATATGTAATTGCTTTATGAGGGTGACACTGCCATTATAGATAAAAATGTATTTAACATAATTTGCAATAAATGAAAGGACACATGAGTATATCTTTTTTAAACAGTTCAATTAATTACTGATACTTCTTAAAATATAACTTATGCAAAGGAAATCTAATAATTATAAGATAAATTACGGTCGCCCCAAATGACCTTTTTAAGGTCATTGCCCTATTCATTTGAGTTTAAAAGCACTAAAATATCTTTGTTTGAAGTTTTCACACACATGCATGTGTAGACTACACTCCACATGTTTAGAAAATAGACAAATATATTATTATTTCAAGTATTTTAAAAATGGGCCTCTCAAAGGCCTTATACGTCATTGACCCTAATACCAAATTTAATACAGGAAGTATGTAACGTGATTGTATTATTGTTTCAAGGGTTACAATTATGCCAAATATTATATACTGTACACTACCATTTTTTTTTTATGTGAAAGAAATGAACACCTATTCACAACCAGGAGTTTCCTGGTTGTGAGCATTCTGAACTGGCATTTCACAAGCACTTTGTTCAGCTGTCTTAGGGTGTATTCACACCAGGAAAGTCCGATAGTTCACTTGCTTTGGTCCGGACCAAATAAATTTTTTTTTTTTTTTTGGTACGGTTCGCTTTCACACTGCTCTTTTTGCAAGTGAACCAAAATTTGTAAACAAAACCACACGTGTGCTAAATTCGTCCATTCATTGGACAAGGATTCTCAAGGGAAATCAGGAAGTGCAAAAAAGGCTCAGCATGGAGATATTTCCCTATATTTCGTACTGCAATATTTGTTCTTTTACTAATTTTGTGTTAATTCTGTACAAACGCAATATGAATAAACTAATGAGTATCTGATGCAATGTCATCTATACGATGTTGTAATTCGGATTTTGAGAAGACGACGAGTGTAGCGTTTAAGTGGTTCTATTAAACGCGGGGAAATATGACAACTCTCGTCTCTCGTGCATCTTTTCATTCGACCATCTAATGTTTTTTTTGTTTTGTTTTTATCTCTGGGCAACATCTCAACTTTGCGTTACAAGTGGCACTGCACAGAAGACGGATAAGGTATAAAGTTTTCATTCATGGAGAGAGGGGCTATGTTCACACATTCAAATAATGAGATTCTTATTGTGTTAACAAGTGCTGTCAATGTTAACGCTTGCGATTCAGTTTGTCCAGTTTAACGTAAATTAACGCATCATCATCCTTGTATTGTAACTATCCTTACATCAATAATAATAATAATAATATTCATAATTAATAACCACATTTATATAGAACGTTTCTCGGCATTTGCTTTACATAGAAGGGGGAATCTCGTCAACCACCACCAAAAGCTGGTGAACTGCAAATGATTTTTTTTTGTTGTTGTTGCATCTCTGCGTGATTAGACTAAAGAGAACGCTCTGTATGTGAATGTCCTGATGCACGCACACATTCATTCATTCATTCCAATGATGCACACACGACGCGCAGAAAGACGCGCAGCAGTATCGTGTGGCCAGACAGCGCGCCGGAATATTATCTTTCGATGCAGTGCTTTCTTGCAACTGGGTCGGTTTATGTTCACACCGTAAACGAACCGTACCAGAGTTCGTTTGGAACCGTATCGAGACCACCTCTTCAACTGGGTCTCGGTTCGGTTGTTTATTCCGCACCCGAGTTTCGATTGCTGTATTCACACCTGCCCAAAAGGTCCGCACCAAGGGGGCAAACGAACTAGAGTTCGATTCAATCGAACCAAACAAGGCAGGTGTGAATACACCCTAAGATCTAGAATGGGTCTGAGACCCCTGTCTCTGAGCTTCAGATGAAGGCTCAATAGTTTCGTTATTTCGAGAGCATGGTCTCTGGTCCCGGGCTTGTGGCTAGGAGCTTTGAGCAGATGGTTGTTTTGGACGATCTGCTGCAAAGCTAGAGCGCTTTGGTAAGAAAAGCTTCATAGCCTGTGACGTCTTCTGAGCCTCAGCGTATCTATCCACGTAAACTTTGATGGATGATCCAAAGAGGCCAGCTGGGGAGATGGGCGCGTAGAGGTACGCGGCGCGCTCCGAGTCACGGCAGCCATAGGTGTCTCTCAGCAACGCCGAGAGAAGTCATGTTCCGCCCAATGGCGCGTGCCACGAATTTCGTGGCACGAAGAGCCAGGTCCATAGCGCTCCTCAAATCCAGCACGCTGACAGCTTCGAGTCATCATTCGAGTTTTCGGAGAAGGGCGGCTTGGAAGATCTGCAGTACGGCCATCGAGTGTAATGCCGATACAGCCTGCCCAGTGGTGGTATAAGCGGCAAGCTTTAGAAGGTATCGCCATCTAAGCTCACCATCCAGCAGAGTGCGGACAAAGATGGACTGCTACAGCTTCTTCTACTGGAGGAAGAGAGTGATATCCTCTGTCTTTAGCACCGTCCACCACGGAGAATGCTGCTGAGACAGAGGAACGCACTCTGGCTGAGTAGGGGGCGTTCCAAGACTTCGCGGCTTCTTCATGAAGTTCAGGAAGAAAAGGCGCGGGCCTAGAAGACGATGGAGAGAGGTCCCTTTGCAGGAAACATCCATCCAGTCGGCGCCCACTCAAGAACGAGGCTCGCGACGGCCTATGAGAGCAGACGTATCAGCTAGCATTCGATGCTGGCCCGTTTCCCTGACGACTCAAGGGCAGAGAGAGGGGGAGGTCCACAGAGCTCACCCAATCTTCACTGTCCAACGGCAGAATAGAGCAGCTGGCCTTTAATGGCAGAAGCGATGGCGGACAGGTTCGTGTCCAGCCCTACAGCAAACTGCATAAAATTATCAGATAACAGCAAACCAGCATTTAAAAAAAAAAAGGAAAATTCCCTCCTCAAACAGCGATGCATTCATAAGATCAGTACATATGGTGTAGAGTAAGGCTGTCAAAAACTCCAGTCGCTCTTTCTGTGGAAATCATTAATATCAATTAGTAATCAACTTACCAAATGAAACAGGTGGGCTGCATTAATTAAAGGGTGAACACATACATCATTAGTTTTGTTCATTTGTATTATCCTCTTAATGAATCTCAAACTATGCGAGTTCTGGATATGAATACCAACCTTTATTTTTGTGTGTGTGTGTAAACTACATGCATTTGACCAAGAATATGATTTCTAAATGTTTATCTGGTTGTGAAAAACATTTTATAAAATCATTTATTTACAAAAGGAGGGGAGCATGGATTATAAAGCTGTCATTGGCTATCACAGAGAAACACAAGGATCTAGTCTACTCCTCGCAACGAGCAAACAAATCATCTCTCGCTGATGATGCCAGGAGATGTCAAACGTACCAGGTTAACTTGATACTATTATATTATACTACTGATACTATTATATAAATGCTGTGTAACAGTACTGCTGCTGTCTACTATAAAAAAATTAATCAAAAACATACTGACAGGAAAATTGTTCTTTTAATAATATTAATAATTGTTAATAATCAGCTTAAAGTTAACTTGAATAATTACATAAAACATTTTTTTAAGTATATATTTTTTAAAGTAATGTTCAAGGGGGTGCAATTATTTGATGAAAAATAAATCAATAAATAAATAATATCGTGAAATATTACATTTAGAATAACTTTTCTATTTGAACATATATTAAAATGTATTCCTGTGATGTCAAAGTTGAATTTTCAGCGTTATTACTCTTCAGTCACAGTCACATGATCCTCCAGAAATTATTCTAATATGCTGATTTAATGCTCAAGAAATTTTTTTTTTTCTGGACCCTTTGGTAAACAAAAAGGAAATGAACTGTTTATTTGAAACAAATCTTTTGTAATACTGTCACTTTTGACCAATTTAATGCATCCTTGCTGAATAAAAGGAACATTTTTTAAAATTACATTGTAATTTGTTAGTTCAATTTGTTGATATACAAACTTTAAATAAAGAATAGTGTTCATTAGATCAGTTGTTTCAGTGGTATTAAAAGTGTATCAAGAATAATTGTGGTATTGTGACAACCGTGATGAGGATAGTCCAAGAGTGTAGAGAACACCATCCATCACAGACAACAGATATCTCTTGGATGTCCAGTAGGGAAAAAACACTTGGATCAAAACTCCAGCTTTGTCCAACTTGTGTCCACTCCAGAACAATACATGAGAATGTGTCCCACTACTTAAACACTAAAACACATTCTCTTGAGGTGTTTGCCTCATACACACAAACAACAAGACAGATCTTTACAACATGCAACCCCCAGTGCAGTTGATACGTCGTCATCATCATCATCGTCATGAGACTTGGCTGAAGAGTTCACAATGCCATATTACCAAACTTATTTCTAAGCTATTAAAATAACATACTTGTTAGGTTACTAATCATGTCTGATTTGTCATGCTTACAGGCTGATAAATCTCAGTTCATCTCCTTGATGGGATGTCTTACGAGTGTTTGTGGTGATCTCAACCACTGTGCTTTGGGCCAGAGGATCATTTGAATGAGCTCATTACAGCTGTGATTTGAACAGGATTTTTTACTCTCTGCAGTAAATAAACCAAGATCAGGCGGATGGGATGGAGAGAGCAAACACTCTCATGAGAAAAAGGATCTCTGAAGCCCCTTTTCCACCAAAGCATTTTGAGAGCCGGTTCAGAGCCGGCGCCTGTGCGCGAACCAGTTCTTTGTGTTTCAACAGCCAATGAAAACTGGTTCCAAAGCGGCACCAACTCTTTGCTGGACTAAAACCGTTCTTTTACCACGTCGTGCTTATGTCGGGGCTGGGCCAGATGTTCTAAACATCTTTTCTGACCATAATATAGGATCGCAAAACCAGGAGAAACATTTGCAGAAACACGATGGAGTCCGCCTTTGTAATTGTTATGCTTGAAGTTAACGCAAGCGTTTCTATTTTTGTAATTTTTTATTGAAGACACTATAAGCAAAGAAGAAAACAGTCACAATATAGAACAAATAAATGGAAAGAAAAAAAGACACAAGACAGGGGTACATAACTTATCAGAAAATCAAACGAAAAGATTTAAAGACTTACATATTTCAATTGTTTTTAAACCCTTCTTGGTACACGAGTTAGAGATAATCCCAAAGTAATGTTGCACTTGCAAGCGTTTCTAGCTAAAACGTATGGCGACGTACACAGTGACGTAACGACGTCGTACCCTGGGCGCTCTAGTCAGTGGAAAAACAAATAGGTTCTGAAGAGGTTCGCAAGTTGAACCAACTCCGAACCAACTTTGAACCAGCACCAGTTCCAAACCAGTTCTTTTTTTTTGGTGGAAAAGGGGTCTGAGTGACTCTTAGTTGTAGGTTGTTAATACCAGGCAGGGGCGAAAATTTCATCAAAATGTTGGGGGGGACAATAAACATAACAATTCTCAAGAGCAAATTTTGAAGGGGACACCAATAATACAGGCAAAAAAATACAGAGGAAAGCCTTACTACTAATTTTAGTGTAGCATGGAGACCATTTCATTATACTTCTTAAAATTTCTTTCTGGTTTAAGCCAGCGGCGAATCTGTTTACATACTCTCCTCACGCAGCGCAGCGATTTCATTTCATTCATTGACTAATTCTTTAACTATATTAAATTATATAAACCAACTAAATCACAGTGAAAGGGTTAGAATCTAAATGCACAGCGCACCCGGACTTTCTCATCAGTGTATGGCCAATATTGTAATGTTTAATGACATGAAGATAGTGTCTGTTATTATTGTTATGTACAATTAAATACAATCGTTGCTGAGTCTGCGGTCTGAAAACTTTACCTCAGATCATCCGTTCACTGAATGAATTGAGAATCTCACCTGAAAAATCCAATAACATCAGCAATTGTCATTCAAGCAGCTGATTTCTGTAAATGAATGCAAAACTAAATGTATATTGCAGCATAGGGCGAAGTCAGGATCCATCAGCACCGATTTGAGACAAAAATAATTTAAATTGTATATAAAACTATGTAAATGGCGCTCTGTGGCGCAGCAGGGTTTTGAACACGGTCCTGAGCCGTTGCTGGGCGCCGCGGACAGACGCCGAACGGCGCCGCCGGTGTGTGTACACTCATAGAGAATAATGTGTTCGAATTTTAAAGACATGGCGCTGCGCGACGCTTCTCGTCCGGTGTGCGACCCCCTTTACTGGAGTTCCACAACTATTCAAAAACTATGTTTTTCTCTCCCGCTACCGGAATGTGTGTGTCCGAGGTAAAAGGGACGGAGGCGGTGGACCAACGCACTGTGAGGCAAGGGAGGGGGGTCTCAAAATGTTTAGAACGCTTTTTTCGTAATTGCCCCGTTTGCATTTGTGTTATTTTATTTCTTAATTATTTTAAGAATATATCATTACATTATTTACAATACACATATTTTAATGGTTTTTTTGGGGGGGGACAACCTTCAGATAGGGGGGGTCCTGACCCCCCCGACCCCCCCGCGATTTCCGCCTATGATACCAGGTATAAACAGGTCCAGTGAGCAAGGCGCAGAACAAGGCAACGTCTCATGATGAGATGAATCCAAAGGTCAAGGGGAAGGTACCATCTATACACATCTAACTTTTTATGGTAAACCAGGGACTAAATGTAAAGCTGTCATCACAACGAGAGGTTCTAGAACTTTAAAAAGCCAGAGTATTCATACTCACACCATCCTCTTCTCTTTGGGGGGTCAACCGGTTGTACACTGCTTCAATAACACTGTGCCTGAGAAGAAAAAAAGCAGACAATGTTTTAGAAAAATAAAACAAGGTAAACAAGTTATACAGCAAGATTCAAAGTCAAGCTGTATTCTGAGTCAAGCCTACTTGAGATTAAACCTGTAAATGTTGTTAGCAGGCCAGACCCTTAAACATTAGGTGCATAACCATTGTGTCCCGTAAACGTGTTTGTGCAGGTGTGAACCTCTGTGTGGTTCGTAAAAACCGTGATTTTACTTACTTGCTGGCAAGGCCGCCCCCTGGTGGGAGATTAGGGATACTTTCTTGGGACAGGGTGCTCATGACAATCAACAGCTCAGGCACACCTTCTTCCCCTGCTTTCTCTATGAGCTCTGATTAAGAGACAGAGAGGATAAACCACAGGTTAAAGCTCTCTAATCATTAATTTCCCTGCTCCATTCAATGGAGTCTTACAATATATGCAGTAGAAATAAATGTATATGTGACCTACTGTATATGTGTACTGAGAAATGAGCAGTGCATTATGGATACCAATGTAGAGCACAAGTGTTATAATTTTTGTTTGTTTTTTGAAATAAAGAAATGAAAGACACAGAGGAAAATGAATGAAAGAAAGAAAGAACAGGGACAATGAGAGAAAGAACAGAGACAATGAGAGACAAGAGTGAGACTCTAGAAGGAAACCCTGTGGCTCAGTTGGGCTGATCTGGGCCTGTTGCCAGTTAGATGTTCAGCCAGCACATTCCTCACCAGAGCAGTAGTGCCGACGACTCCCTCAGGCCCTCTCAGCACCCAGCCAAACATTACAACAACGTTACCCCAACCTTTGCCCACAACTTAAAGCCAAGAGTTTACATAACCCCCCAAAAAAACACAAAACTAACAACCACTTGCCAGAATATGATCAATGTCCAATACAGAAAGGAAAGGGTAGTGCAAAAGAAAAAAGTAACAAGTAGAGATGCATCGATTACAATTTTTTAGGCCGATATCCGATTTTTCAGAGTTTGACCAGCCGGTACCGATTTTAGCAGATTCCAATTTCATTTTTTCTACAGCACACAAACATATTTATTTTCTCTCTTTTCTATAGTAGAACATTTTACATAGATCATTTTTGAACAGTAATCACTATAAAATATGACTATATAAATGACTCCTGGTGTGGGAAATTCACACACATCTAAAGTGCAGTGTTATGGAAGAACCATTTCCTTCTTTTCACATCCAATATCCAACTAAAAAAAAAATTGTGCTCATTTCAAAAAGAAAATTCATTTTCTTTTCTGACATAGCCTACTCCAGTTCTTGTTAAAACACATCAGACATGCAAATTCTGTGCATATTAAGCACTTTTTGTGTGAAATATTTATTTTGTCCATCAAAAGTGTGCTTTCACTTTAATTGAGCGTGAGCAGTGCAACAAAAATAGACTCTGCGCCGAAAGCCTGCAACACTCCCACGCTGCTCCTGTTCTCGGTGTGAATGCACTCACTGATTATCATGCACGCCGTGTGAAACAGCCGTAATTCACGAGGTTTCCTACATGTGCGTTCCGTGTGCACGTGTGATTCTGATGTTGCGCGATGTAAATCATGCGGCGCCAGAGTGCATTTGACCAGCGTTAATATCGAAAAATGTCAGAATGACCGTTCGGTTGCCAATCATAACAGATTACGTGAAAATTGGTTGATGCCGGTCACCAGCCGATCAATCGGTGCATCTCTAGTAACAAGAAATGGAGTCAGGCTATCAAGATATATTAGACTAGAAAAAGAGAAATATGAAAGGGGCTGGGATACACAATGTTCAAGATCACAAGAGAAAAAGTGTAAGGGGAAAAGGACATTTCTCTTTAATAAAATGCATAAATTCTGAAATTAATTAATCTGGACTGATATACAGTGGCCTTAAATATATCTAAGCAAGTGGCAAGATAAATTCACCATTTAGTATTTTGGAATAATAGTATTTTTTAATATAGAGTTACCAATTTGATTCAGTTGCACAAACTCTTGATTTAATTCCAATTTAGTTTAATTCGGGTATATTTTGCTTGCAATGAAAAATAAAAATTCTCTGTTATGCTGAGAATTATAGAGGGCAGTGTTTCAAACCAGTTTTAGACTGATTCAATCTTTTTGAGCTATTTGTTCTTAACTACGACTACACTGGTTGAATAATTGTAAGTAAACACTAGAGGTTTCAAAGCTCATGCCCTGGGACAGATGTATGAATGCTCCCAAACTACAGTGGACAAAATAGCTATCATGTGGCGGACCACTGAGCTCGTCCGTTTCTCACCTTCCACCCGCGATTCAAGGTACTTGTCCACCTCAGCATCTCTCTTTACCGCCTCCTCTGACACCTGGGGTGCATTTGGCAAACAAACTAATATAATACTCATATTATCTCGACTTCCCTGAAGGAGAAAAAAGAAAGAAAAAAAGAAAATAATCTCAACTGAGAATGAAACATTTATGCGCTATAAGAAGCTGTCACAAAAGAGCGATTAAGGAACTATACCTTGTGGAGACAAGTATCCACAACTTCGTTGCACACTCTCTCCAGGTCGTCCATCACCTCCAGTCTTGATCGCACAAAGGCACAAAGCTCCTCGTTGGTCATCACATCCCAGATACCGTCACACGCCAGCACCACAAATTCATCCTCCGTATCTGAACGAACTATCTCGAATACTTCTGGCTCTGGAGACACAAGCTGCTCTGTGGGACCCTTGCCCTCCACACACTTGTAGTCATAGTCACCCAGTGCTCGGGATACAGCCAGCGATCCATTAACCCTCTGGATCATTACAGAGCCACCTGCATTCTGTATACGCTCCTTCTCCCGTGGGTCACAGGGCTTATGGTCCATCGTGGAGAAGCCGACTTGCGCGTTGCGGCAGAGAAGGGCCCGTGAGTCCCCACAGTTAATGAAATACAGATGTTCCGGAGAGAGCAGCACACCCACCGCGGTGGAGCCGCTGCGGTCCATGCCGTTCCGCAGGTCTGTGAAACTGCGCATGTGCTCGTCGATCCTCAGGAAGCCGGCGCGGATACCCCTTTTGACCGCCTCTATGGCTGGCGTCTCAGGCGTCGGAGCACCCGCCTTCCGCAGTTCATCTGCCGACCCTGTGGCGACAATATGTTCCAACATGTGTTTAGAGCAGTAGTTAGCAACACGTGAGCCGGCGTGACCGTCGTAGACCGCAAAGAAGGACCAGTCGTCCAGACCGTGCGGCAGGCCTATGGTTGCGGTGTGGGCATCCTCCATCTCCACCCTCCATCCCTGCATGCTGCTGAGGCCAAAACGCAGGCCATTTCCCTCTCCGTGAGCATTATGCTTCTCTGTTTTGGGCTTGTCTAAGAACGCCCCCATGGCTTAGGCCACCGTCTGCAGACACAGAGAAACAATCATTGAGTAGGTAGACAAAAAACACTGAAGACGGTACAAAAAATAAGACATGAAAAGTGCAGGACAGAAGAAACATATGATCTCCGCAGCTTTTTAAATGCATTAGCTAACATTAAGCATCCCCTGCATCAACACTGTAGCACCACACCAATAGAGCTACTTCAGACATGAAGACTAAAAGTAGAGGGGGAAAAAACCCACTGCAGAATGAACAACACAAATGTGAAAGGATTAGTCTTAGTGCTCAATAGACGGATTTCTATTAACAACAAACATGTAGAGATTCTTGGCCCTGAAGCCACAGAGTGGGCGTAGCTTCTGAAAATAAAAAAAACTGCAGCCCAGATAATCCAATTGCCTGTGCCGGGCTGCATTACTGCTGTGTACCCCACTGCTATTCAAGTGTTAGCCACAGAAAAATACATATTACACTGCTCTGTAGTGCTGCTTCACTCTTGCTAATTAATCAAATTCTGTGGACAAATATTTTTTGCATATTGAGTTAAACTGTATATTTGACCGATTTAATACACAGTACAATAATTCTTGTGCATTTATTTGCTCAGTAGACGTGTAATAAGGTGGATAATGTACATTAAGCTGTTTCTTTATCACAAAATAGTAAAAAGTAAACCCCTCGACGCAAGGCTTTTTATGATAATGACCGACTGACTGTACATTATGCCTGACAACACATTTTAGCTGACTGAACTGTATGTGATAGGAGAGAAAGACTGGGAGCCTCAAAATAACACTGACAAGTAGTCGACTGCATTCCATTGTGTTGTACGCACTGACTGCACAAAAATGCATATGTAGTAAAAGATTGATCATACTCACAGATTTATCACAGTATATTGTAGAGCCAGACCGATATATCGGCAGGCCGATATTAGGCATTTTCCAAAATATCGGTATCGGCAGTTATAATGGCCGATAAATGAATATTTAAAAAATAAAATAAAAATGGACAAAAAACGCTTGAACCATGTCATGAGTGTTGGAGTTGTATAGTTTGTCCACCAGAGGGCACTCTACACCGTTCCTGTTGGCAACACTCGTTGAGTTGGTCACAACAATTGAAAGATCATCCCCATCAGTTCTCTTAACTCAAATAAGCATGACAAAATTTGTGACTATCATGTCCAGTTTTGCTTCTGTTAAATAAGCTGAGAGTTAAGCGGAATGAGCTAGTAATAGTTACGTTACGTTGTTACAGTGTAGTTGACTGACTTTCCTTTTAACTTTTGACAATGTGACTGAAGTATTTCTTTAATAGCTCGTGCCAGTAATGGCAATGAGACGCATCATCTCTCCTTGGCCTGTTTATATTGAAAATATAGCTAAATTGCTAAACCATTACTAAATTATGGCTCATCATAGACTAGCTAACCACGAAGCTAGCTAATGCCACTGTCATCAGTCTGTTCTGTTGTGACAATAAAAGAAACAAGTTTCTTTTTAAAATGCATTATCATATTATTTTAGTTAAAACTCATAAATAACTTCAAATAACTAATGTTAGGGAAATCTTTTAATGTTTTGCTGCACGTTTCTGAAATAAAAATAAAAAATATCGGCCGATATATCAGAATATCGGATTTTAAAACCAAAAAATATTTGTATCGGACTTCAAAATCCTTTATCGGTCGGGCTCTAGTGCCTTATTACGGTTTTACATTACAAAAAAAAAAACGGTTTAAATTCATTTTACCCAAAGTCGAACAATCTTCAACGCTTGGTGACTGTTAAAAACATTGAGCACTCAGTGTTTTACAGTGAAATAGCATTACATAACATACATAACAGCCTTGGTGGACACACAGCCTTACTTTCAGGCCAACCTGAAACTTAAAGCACTTTTTACTAATTTTTAGTTATTTTGTTTTTATTTTTTAAGCATTTATTTGTCCTAATTTGTTTATTTTATTACTAAGTGTTGATGCCTTTTTTGTACAATCAATTCAAAGTTTGAAATCAGGCTGCTGTGTAAGCTTTGCAAAAATAAATAAATAAATAAATACCCTATTGTAAAAGCAAAAATGCATTGCATGATCAACCATTTAGGTGAGATAATTGTAATTTTTTAAATGTCTAAATATCAACACAAACAGTATAAAGGTGAAGCATTTAAGATGTTTTTACTGTGTCCCTACTAGTGTTATAGTTCTTCTGTGATCGCCTTATTCATTCATAACATCAGTAGTATAAGTGCCACTGAAGTGATTGTAGAGATTAAACTTTTCCCCAGCAGGAAAATAGGATTTGCTCTCCTCAGATGAACCACCTCTTAAGTCTCAAGTCAAGCTGTGACATGCATCTGTCTGGACTACTTCTACTTTCCAAATGAATCACACTAGACCGTGGACACACAAATCTGATCTTTTTTTTAATTTATTTTTTAAATCAAAACCGAATTCTGCTCGTTGGTTGCTGAGATGAGGCAACTTGTTACTGTGGTGGTGAGTAATGTTTGAATGAAGCTCCATCCAGAACCTACGTGCCAATGCAAAACCAAACATGCTAAGAAACTGGTCCGATTCAGTGAGGACGAGACAAACTCAAGGATCTATTTACAGGGTAGACTAAAAGTGACCCTATTTACTCATGCCACGGTGACCTCTGTATCACAGGTTTAATCCAACAGTGCTAGCAGCGTTATGGAACTCAGGGCTCACAGTCAGCCAACGGTGAAAGGAGGTCACCCTGCCAGATCAGTCACACGACAGCTCTTTTTGTCCACAGGTTACAACATTAAATAAGTACACAAATGTATAACAATTCCAAGTCCAATCGAAATGAGGACAAATAGGTTACTTGCACTGTGAAAATTTGACTACTGCACTGTGTGTTCTGCACAAGCAATCCAGGTCCACACTAATCAAACTAATACGCAAGTATTGTTTTTTCAGCAGAGCAAACAACCTTTCATAGTTAAAGCTTTAAAAACATGTTGTTCATTGAATAAGCAGTCAGACTCAGTCATTTCATTGATTTAAACCTTACGTAACACGGTAAAATCTCCTGGTTTAATTTAAGTTGGGAATGACAAAACAAGGGCTTGCAGTACATTCCATTTATGGAGTTTTTTATATCGATGCAATGATATAAAAAATTTGTCCAATAACGATAACCGTTCATTGTTTATATTTGAAAGCCGATAACCAATATATTGGCCCATAAATCTAAATTCAAACATTTTTGAGAGCTTAATTACAAAAACAGAAGTCTCACAATTAAAATTATGTTCCAAGCACACAATTATAATGTTCTCACTATAATTGTATGTAACCTTTAGTGCTTTTTGCAATGCAAATGATGCACTTTACTTCTTTGGTTTTTTTTTAAGGGACACCAATCATATTTCAAGCAGTTCAAACCCATCATGGTGAACAGTGCACATCTGAAATGTCTCAGCTGACGGAAATTTAAAACATTGGCCAAATTTTCTTATTGGGCCGATAACGATTACATTAAAAATGAACACATATAGGTTGATACTGATACGGTGGCCGACATATTGTGTATATGAATGGGTCATAGAATCTTTGACTCAACTGATTCGTTCAAAACACTGAATCGTTCAGTAATGAAACAGAACATGTTCCTGTGAGATGTGCTATGGTTCTGCTGCTGTGATCTTTATTGTGGATCCAATCAAGAGGATTATTGCATGATCAAAGTGCAAAAGCGTCTAGATGACACACATAGTGGACCCTGGTTATTGCTATACCCCGCTATTGCTCAGCAAGCTGCAAGTATGCAATGATGTCACATAACAGCATGTCTGAGCTGGCCACACCTCACGCCTACTGCACTATAAATAAACCCAGATAGGATTGCGTAAAAACCCCATCCTTTTACTCAGATCCTGAGCCCTCAGCTAAGGTTCAACCTCTCAAGGTTTTTACAATGGTAAGCTACTCTCAAAATGAAGGGAAATAACAAAAGGATGAACGCACTCTCAAAGTAAAACCTAAAAAAAAAAAAAAAACTTGCGTGATTGTGATTTTCAAAACATATGTTAACTAAATAGAATTCTATTAAGTTTAGTGACAACATGTTACAATGTTTACATGGTTCAATGACTGGGCTACTGCTTGTATTATTCAATTCAATTCTTGGATTTTATTTCAATCTTAATTCAATATTGACTCATTTGGATAAATATTAGGTATATGCATGATAATTTTTATCAAGAAAAAAAATCTCTCTCACATAATGCTGTAAACATACAGAGAGAAATTAAATATAATGCATTTTCATTATAATGACAATTATGTAATGGCAAATAAACATCTAATAATATATTTTATTTTTTTTCCACACGATTGACATCAGGTTCAAGTACACCCACAAGCTGCGAGTTATTTTTGTATTGCAGTTTGGCTGGTGGTTAGTTTGCCCGCATACCGCCACCCATGGCCAAAACTGGTATTATGACACCTGCCGGCCCGGGGCTAGTAAATTAGCATGCTAATTCAGGTTGATATCTCTGCAGCACCATAACTTGTCTTTTTTTTTAATGACATCAACCTTAATTCTTATTCTTTTGATGTGTGTAGCTCATTTTTTGAATATTTTAACCTCAATTCTTACACATGGCACCTTTAAATGAGACGTATAAGAAACAAGAGTGTAAAATGTATTCAAGAATGTTTCTGTATGTACATGTACCTTGAAATGTGCTCTAAAGATCAGTTTTTGTCCACAACCTTCTTGAGCTGAGATATTTTCGCATAGCTGTTACTGTATAACCAAAATAAGTTGTTGGGTGGGCCATGACACAAAGAAGCCGCTGTGGTTAAAACAAGTAAAATAAAAAATAACATGAATTTGCAATACCAAATCACAAAGGTAATCACTCAAAAAAATACAATGGGCTCTATGCACGGCGTTATTTCCGGTGAAGGTGTAAGGATGCTCGATAACTTCCGCCGATCGTAGAGTCAAATACAATACCGAGGATTTATATTGAA